GCCTGTGGACTGAAAGGTCCCAGGTTCGATTCCGGTCAAGGGCATGTACCTGGGTTGTGGGCACAACCAGTAGGAGATGTGCAGGAGGCAGCTGATCGATGTTTCTAACTCTCTATCCCTCTCCCTTCCTCTCTGTAAAAAATCAATAAAATATATTAAAAAAAAAAAGACAAATGAGTATGAGGTAAAACATTTTAATTAGTCATTTGGATATGAGTTGGCAAAACAGCTGAGAATGAAATGAACTCTAGTGAACTCTAGGCACTCCCCTGGACCACACCCATACATGCCAACACACTATAACAGTGGTTTATCAGATGAGGCCCTGAACTATTTGCCTAGAAGCTTTGTGCATTTGAAGGTGATTCACAGTAACACAGTATCTGAGGATCTGAAGGCCTTTTACAAAGTTACCATTTCATGGGTAACAAAACTAATGTTAAGTTAAGCACCTGAGCTGATAAGTAGGTAAGACATTTTTCTAATTTCAAAAATGCTTCAGGGGAAAAGGACAAGAATTAAATAGCTTCTTTTGGCATTAGCACCACAAATTTCAGATAAATTCTAACTTTGTTTTTGAAATTTCAAATTCACCCAATTCCTTGAGGATCTCCTTTAAAAACAAACTTGTTTTTTCAAAAGTTTTTATAGAGCTGAAAATTTACAGTATGCATATCTTTTAAAAATAACACATTAACCACAGGAACTGAATTGTGATCTTTAAAACGTTTAATATATGAAAGATTCTTTAAAATAATGACAAACATGGAAATTATGTCCTATATTGACATAAAATATGCTATTGACTGTCAAGTAGAGCATGGGCTTTGCAGCAGGTCTTCAGGCTGTGATTAGGTGAACTAATATGTAGTTACTCTCACACTGACTCTGATCTAATTTTGTAACACAGAAGAGGGGTTGTTTTCAACAAGAAAAGGTTAAAGTATTAGCAAACGAAGGAGAAAAGTGAGCAATTTTTCCAGTGACTTTCCTCAATACAGATAATTTATTCACTCGTTCAACAAATACGGGAGTGCCTAGAACAGCAATTTTGAACTGCTGGGCCTCGGCAGACACACTGGTGTGCCACGAGAATTTTTAAAACATGCAACACCTGACAATTTAGTCAGGGGCACTGACCTAGATTGTCAAATGGAAAAATGACAACAGCCAACACAATATCTGTCCGGCGTGAATGAATAAAAATTATACCTATTTGTTTTTTGTCAGATTGGCAAAAAATATATTTTTTGCTGCGCTGCTGAATTTCGGTAATTAGTTTATATGTGCCATGAGATAATAAAGGTTGAAAATAGCTGGCCTAGAAGGTGCAAGGCCCTGGGAGCTAATGACAAACTAGTTTATCTCACTTATTCAGACACATAGCATTTCCACTAATTTTCCTTTAACAGAGCACTCAGTAATTTAATAGACTTTATTTTTCAAAGCAGTTGTAGGGTCACAGTAAACTTGAGCAGAAAGTACAGATACTCCCTGCCCCAACACATGCACAGCCTCCCCCACTATTAACATCAGCATTCTGTACCAGAGTGGTACATTTGTTACAGTTGATGAACCTACATTGACACATCAGCATCACCCAAAGTTCATAGTTTACATTAGGGTTCACTCCTGGTGCTGTACATTCTATGGGTTTTGATGTATGCTCCTTTTTTTAAAAAAATCATCACTGGAGGATATTTTCCCATTGATTTTTAGAGAGAGGAAGAGAGAGAGAAAGACAGAAATATAGATGTGAGAGAAACACATTGATTGGTTGTCTCCTGCATGTGCCCTGACCAGGGCCTGGGCCAGGAAGAAGCCTGCAACCTAGGTATGTGCCCTTTACTGGAATCGAGCCCTTAGGTCCACAGGCTGATGTTCTATCCACTGAGCAAAACTGGCTAGGACAATGTATACACCTTTAAAAAAAATATGTTTTTATTGACTTTAGAGAGAGGAAGGGGGGGGGAGAGATGGAGAGAGAGAGAGAGAGAGAGAGAGAGAGAGAGAGAGAGAGAGATGGAGAGAGGCATCGACTGGCTGCCTCCTGAACCTGCGACCTGGTATTGACCAGAAATTGAACCCACAACCTTTTGGTGTAAGGGACGATGCTATAACCAACAGAGCCACACTGGCCAGGGCACCACTCATACTTTAAAAAAATAAAGTATACAAAATTTTTATAAAATAGAAAAATGGTCACTTTTCATCATAAAAATAATGCTCATTATAGAAAGTCAATAATATAATAGGCAAATTTTAAAAAATCAACATTTTATTCCTCAAAGACAAATACTCATAGCTGTGTGGTGTAATTTCTTTCCGTCTTTTTTCTGTGCATAGCTTTTCAGTGTCACGTTTAAACTTGATTTATCTAGAAATCTCACCAAAGGTGATGTTTTTCTTAGATACAACCCAAGTCAAGAATCATTATTATTAAAAATGTTATAACTTAAAAAAAATGTAACAGGAACTTTTATAATACAGTTTAGGCATTCTGAATAAAATGTAACTAAGGATATCAATTTCCCAAAGTTTAATTGCTTTGTTTCTCTGAAGTAAATTATGGACCTGTGTTCTCGGAGCCTTCTGCTGCTCTTTTCTGGGACATGGGACAAGAACCAATACAATTTCATTTCAGTTTCAGTTTAGAATCAGCTATAATTAAATTGTTTGGGTTTGAGTTTGGTTCAAGTAAATAATGTGTTTCAATTACTTGATTTGAACCAGACATTTTGGGTTCTTTCCGTGTTTAGATTTTATAAACTAAAATATCTAGGGCCATTCAATGACAGATTTGGATTTTGTTTGCCTCTAGAAACATTGCTCTTTAAGCTGTATGAATTCTAATATATACTGTTATTGGATTTCCATTGGAAAAAGTCAGAAGCCCTGAACTTGGTAGAATTAGATTTCTAAAAGAGAGGCCCTTTAGACAACTGAAACAATGTTAACTACTAAAGGTGAGAGGAGTGGACTGGGTCTTTGCTAGTTAGACTCCTGTCAGCACTACATGGAAGAAATTTACACTGTTATTGTATCTTTAGAAAATTAACATTAGTTTTCTAAAACTGCCGCTTTAAAATTAGCAACAGTTTCAGATAGACCAAGTTTAACTAGGCTCAAGTACAACATAGCTGATCTTTAGTCTACCGATTATGCTCAATGATAGCAAGTCTGTTAACCCTTAAGAATATCTGCTTCTTCACCATTCTTTGGCTTCATTTTCCATGTAATTGATCATACTGCATTAAATCCTTTGTCAGGAGGTTCCCAAAAACGTTTTGGAGAAATGAAGAATATAACAAAATGCTTAAATCGACCAATTGATGTAGTTCATCAAATCTATGAAGGTATTAATTGTAAAATGCAATGTATGAGATTTTATATATGATTAAGAAAACACACCCACCAATTAATTGTAAGACTTCATTGACTGTGAGATGCATTTCCATTTTAGAAATGTTAAAACAGGTTAAATTGTTTTTTTAAAAAAATGTCTTAGGAGTGATTAGCTGCAACAGTGAGGTTTTAAAATTTCCATTTGTAATATTATTTCAATACTAATACACTACCCTGTTGTAACATTAACTTATCAATCAATAACAATCAACAATAGGAGTTTGGTTTCTAAGCTCTATTCTTTCTCACTGATGTTAAAGCCGATAAAACAAACAGTACAGCGAGTCCAGGATTGGTTCTCAATAGGGACCTTAATTTAAACTCTTTCCTGATTGTAGTTTATCATTTAACCAGAGACTGAGGTAGCTCATTTAATCAATATTAACTACTATAAACTTCACTGATAAAATAAACTCTTTTCAAAACTGAATTCAATTCTGAAATCTCTCAAGGGGGTAATGGATTATTTAAAAGGAAATCACTTGAAATAATAAACACTGTCTAAACATGAAACAATCAAGGAACAATATAAATTCATCTGGGCTAAAGAAACAAACAGAAACATTTCGTACTAGATTAAAACAACTCCTTGGACTGATTTTAAATTAAGATAAACACTGTTACCTTATGATCCAGAGTGCCTTTTCTTTGCTTTTTAGAGCCTGTGTAATTTAAAATTTTCTAGTAGCAAACCACATTTAAAAAGTTAAGAACAGCGAAATTAATTTACTAACTTATTTGATTTAATCCAACATATCAAATATATTATTGTTTCAACACGTAATCAATTTAAAATTTACTAAGGAGGTGGTCTCAGACCTCTAGTGTATGGTTTACACCCATCACACATCTCAGTTCGGTACTAGCCACATTTCCAGCGCTCATTAGCCACCTATGGCTACCCGAACAGTAACTCTTAGGGAATTCAATAATGACGGACTCTTTACATTGTGTTTGAGAGTTTCTTTTCTATTACACGCAGCCTCTAAGATGCTTAGAGATCAGCGAGGCACAAGCAGATTACTTCACTCAGGTCCGTTATGATCCAAGGCTCCACAGCATTAAAGGCCGTGTTGGGGGGCAGGCGACGGGAAACCCCTGCGCCCAGGAACGTGGCCTGGAGGAGGGCCTCCGCCGCTCGGAGGGATGCCCGCGGCCAGGCTGCGGACGCAGCGTTGGGAACTGGATTGCGAGACAGCCGGCGGCTGCCTGGAGCCCAGTGTATTTCTCTGGAACACCAGAGCCGGGCAGAGGGAAAGCGGCCTCCAAGTGGGACACAGAGTCACGCTCCGCCGCCGCCGAGGGAGGGTGGCCTAGGGCTGCAGCGCCGGCCGCCCCGTGCGCCTCGGCCCGACGCGGGAAGGTAGGCGGCGGCGGAGACAGAAGCCAGGGGAAAGCCCGGCCAGCATCCCGCAGGAGAAGCCGCCCGGGGGTTGCTCGCCTCGGTGACGCAGCCGGCGCGAAGGCAGCAGGATGGGCGGGGAGGGGCGTTGCGCACCGCCCCTCGGAGGGGCGGGCGCCGCGGTGGCGGAGGGCGGGGGCCGGGCGGGGCGGGGATCGCCGGGGAGTCGGGGCGCCAGCCGCCGGTTTCGATTAGTGCCCGGAGCCGCGGCGGCAGAGCGGAGCGGAGCGGGGCAGGAGCAGCGCGGCGCGGAGCCAGGCGGCGGGACGGCGACGGGGGCACCGGCGCGCAGGGCCCGGCTGGCGGCCGCGAGGGCATAGGGGAGGCGAGCCGGAGCGCGGAGCCACGGCCACGCTGACCACCCAGCCCGGCCACAGCAGCGCCCGCCGTCGCGAGCGCGCCCAGGGCAGCGCGCGGGCGAGTGCGCGCGGGCGGGGGCGCGTAGGCCCTGCCCGCCCCTTCCGTCGCCACCCCACTCCGCCCCTTCCTCTCCCCACCTTCCTCTCCCCTCCTGCGCCCCCGCCGCGGGCGCCTACCGTGTCCTCCTCCTGCGGGAGCGCTGTCCGCGGCGACGGCCGGAGCAGGCCGGGCCGGGCCGGGGGATGGCGCTGCTGGACCTGGCCCTGGAGGGAATGGCCTTATTCGGGTTCTCCCTCTTCTTGGTGCTGTGGCTGATGCATTTCATGTCCATCATCTACACGTGAGTGAGGGGCAGCTGGAGGAGCCTGTGGCGGGTGCGGGGCCTCAGGGACAGGCGAGGGTGGGAGGGATTGCGCTTTGGAGGGGATTGGGCTTGGGTGGGGGTACAGAGAGCTAATTCTCAGTGTTTCCCCCATTCTCTCTCCCTTTGGACGAGCAGGGTGTGTGTGTGGGGGGGTCCTTGGGAGGGAAAAGTGGCGAGGGAGGGGGTTGCTGGGCTGCAGGCGACTGCACAGCCAGGGGAAAGGAAGCTATGCTCTTCTTACGTGTGGCGGAAGGGTGCTTGCTTGGTTTGACTGTTGGGGATTCGTGTGCTTTTTTTCATCTGGGCCAAGATGTATGGTGTCTTCTCCGCGCCCCCCCTCCCCCCTTGACCTGGGACACATTTCTATTGTGGTGATCGTTTCTATCTTCTGGGAGGTGCACACAGCCACCTGGAAACCTCCCTGTGGATTTTCTTCCTAGACGAGCTCTATGCCCTCAGATAGGTGTCAAGTGCCTGTCCACTCCGAGGTGGCATTATACCCTTGAATCATGTCAGCTTATACATTTCAGTGTGGTTTTATTTCCTTTTATTCTAATTTCTTATTTATTGTCTTGCTCAGATGTGCGCCACCTACACACACACACACACACACACACACACACACACACACACACACACACACACAAACTTTTCAGTATTAACAACATGTACTTCTTGAGGCCTAGATGCTATTCACTGAGGTCACAGGCATGATCAGGGCAGAATTCCTGTCCTCATAGAGCTTACATTCCAGAAGGGACATAACAAAATCTGAATAAGGTTATTTCCAATCCAAGTCTATGAATAAAATAAACAGGGTTATGGGGTATGTAGCTAGTTTTTATATTTCAATTATTTACATGTTTTCAAACCGAAATCAACCTTCACAAAGAAATGAAAGACTCGCATAGGCCATATTCTGCATATGGATTCACTGGGTTTTTTTAGCTGAAAAAAAAAAAAAGATTGTACATGGTTATCTTTACCACCAACTAGAATAGGGTATATAAAACGATGGGAAGGACATTAAGAAATTAATTTTTGTTTCTTTTTCTTCACTTTTTACTAGAGAAAAAGTATTTTTTTTCTTTTGGAAATACTGCATTTCATTAATATAGTGTGGCATTTCCTGGTATTGGAGAAAGATGCTTCATTGTACCAGACACATTGATATTTCTTTGAAGATGAAAGAAAACATGCCATTTGGATGTTGTTGATCTTCATGTATGGAGTTTGTTAGCTGTAGTCACTAAACACATTCTGGAGTTCATTTTATATATATGTTTTTTAAGAACAATTTTTTCTTTTTCCAGTCATAAAAATAAAAAACGCTTTCTATATAAGGAATTTGTTTTTTAAAATATATTTTTATTTATTTTAGAGAGGAAGGAAGAGGGAAAGAGAGATAGGAACATCAGTGATGGGAGAGAATCATTGATTGGCTGCCTCCTGCACGCCCCCTACTGGGATTGAGCCTGCAACCTGGGCATGTGCCCTTGATCAGAATCGAACCTGGGACCCTTCAGTCCGCAGGCCGATGCTCTATGCACTGAGCCAAACCAGCTAGGGCTAATATAAGGAATTTAGACACAACAGAGAGGAATAAAGAAAAAAGTTAAACACAATCAAAATTACATTACTTTGTTAATCTTTTGTGACTATCCTTCCAATTATGTTTCTGTTGGGGACAGGGAGAAAGAGAATGGAGGGAGGGAAGGAGAGAGAAAGGGACTTTATTATGATTATTATTCTGTAACCTGCTTTTAAAATTAAACTATTTAACCCGACCGTCATGGCTCAGTGGTGGAGCATGCACCTATGAACCAGGAGGTCGAGATTCAATTCCCAGTCAGGGCACATGCCCAGGTGGCCGGCTCCATCCTGGCCATGCAGGAGGCAGCCAATTAATGATTCTCTCTCATCATTGATGTTTCCATCTCTCCCTCTCCCTCTCTGAAATCAATAAAAAATATGTACAAAATAATAATAATAATAAAATTCAACTACTGAATAAATGCTTTGGGGTAGGCCCTTTTGTACAAGGCACTGTTCTAGGTGCTGGAAATAAGATTGAAGGACAAGACATCCAGCTTTTCACATGGAGCTTCCACGTAAAAATGTCACGAATGTTTTTTGCATATTAATAAATGTATGAGCTCTGCATCATTTTGAATAGATGCATGGCATTTTCATTAGGATGGCTAATATGTATTTGTTGTTATTGATGGGCATTTACATTGTTTCATTTATCAAGCTTACAAACAGCCTTGATGCATTCAGATGCATACGTGTTTGAGAGATGACCTCCTTCGTTTACATTTCTGAAAGATGTACTATTGGGCTGTTGGTGGTGCACATTGGATACATAGTGGATACATGCTGCTCTATAGCAGCCATACATCTTGCTCTACAGCAGCAATTTTCAACCAGGGTGCTGCAAGAATGTTTAAAACATGCAATACCTGACTATTTCGTCAGGGGCACTGACCTCTGTTCGCTTAGATTGTCAAGTGAAAAAAATGACTACAGCCAACATAACAATAGCCATCCAGTGTGAATGAATCAAAATTATACCTTTTCTTTTGGGTCTGATTGGCAATATATATATTATATATATCTTTGGTATGCCACAGAATTTTAGTAATAGGTTTATGTGTGTGAGATGAAACAGGTTGGCAATTACTGCTGTACAGGAAAGTTGTATCTATTCATAGACCTGGTAACACTGACTGATGGTCCCCATTTTCCCTTACTAAATACCAGGCTTTTTACTGTTTTCTGTGTGTGTTTTTTCCCCCATTGCTTTAATTATTAATTCCATGGAACACTTTCCATATATTTATGTTAGTTACATGTAGTTGTAAATTACATGCTGAGAATCCTTTGCCTGTGCTACAGTCTATTCCTGAGTTGACTTTTTTGATATGAATATTGTTTCTTTCTGTTACTGTTTTTCCCCAGGGTTTTTTGGTGTTGTATTTTTTGGTGGTTTTTTTTCTTTTCTTTCAGTTCTGTATACATATTTAACATGGAGAAAAGTGTGTGTGTCTGTGTGTGTTACATAGTCAAGTCTTCTAATGTTTTCTGACTCTAGTGTAATTTTTATATCTTCTCTCCCCCCCCATTATTATAGTATTAGTGTCCCTAATGGATTCGTGCACATTGAAAGGAAATTAATTAGAAGAAATATTTTAATATCGCCATTCGCCCTTTCTCTATAATAGAAGTGTCAACCAAATTCACGATCGACAATGGCAGATGGAAACACATGTGTGTGATTGGTGCCAGTGAGAGTTTTATATATAGAGAGATAAACTTGCTTAATTAGACCTGTTTTCTGATTTAGCTAAACTTTTTCCAGCCCAGTGAAGCACCCCAACTTCTCTTTCAGGTAATTGTCAGCAACACAGCAGTAAATATCAACATGAAGCAGATTATTATTGTAGATCATTCAGGGAGAACAAAGGGTGAAATATTTAACTGCAGCAGTGTTTGACTATATTCTGCGCAGTGAGAAAACCTGAAGTCATTTTCAAGTTCCACCATTTCTTCTTTTCAGTCAGGTCAAGTTTCTAAACTTTCTAAATCTCTGTTTTCTGGCTAATGAAAAGAAAATACGGTTCTACCAAGTCTCCTATCTACCTACTCCAGGACTTCTGTGAGGATCAAATGAGATGAGGCACGTGAAAACGCTTCACAGACATTTGGTTAAAGTGTGAAATGTTTGCACCTGACTATAAAGCAAGTCCTGTTCCTAGTCGCTAGGGAGAGGAAGCCAGGTGTCGCTATGTGACGTCATTACCCGGCACCCACAGCGTTTCCGGGCTGGGCTGGGGGCCGCATTTTGCACCATGGGGTCTTGGCAGCTTCAGCTACAATTTGGTGCACTGTCGCTCTGGGGTGGTGGCGGGGGCCTGTGTTCCCCTTGGGGGAAGCCAAGTGTTGGTTTGTGGGCACCAGGTCCTTGGTGCTGTTTCTTTTTAAATGGCCAGTGTGCATCATGGCAGCTCCTGCATTGAGCATCTGCCCCCTGGTGGTCAGTGTGTGTCATAGCTACCGGGCTGACAGTTGGAGGGACACAGGCTTTTATATATATAGATAAATATATTTTTTTAGTATTTGAGTTTTCTCAGGTTTGTTTTTTTTTATATTCCACCCTTTAATGTACTCAATATTTTATTTTGTTAAGAGATCTAGAGCCATAATTTTAGGTTCACCTAAATATTTAGCCAGTTTTCCCACGATCATTTATTGAATGATTATTTGATTATTCTACAGTTTTGAAATATCATATTTATTATAGTCTAAATTCTTCTGTATACTTGGGTATGTTTCAATTTTCCCAATGCTGTTTCATTGATCTGTTCTTGCTCCAGTATCCACTGTTTTAACTAATGAAGGCAAGCTCCATCTTACACTTTTGCAAACTTTTTTGGCTTTTTACACATTTTTACTTAAAAATGAACTTTAGAACCTTTCTATTTACACTAAGTAATCTTGTTTTTTATTTGGGATTGTTAAATTTACAGCTCAGTTTGGAGAAATTGATTTCTTTCAGCATAGCACCATGATATATATCCCCTTCCCTCTGTTTTATGGACACATAACGATTCAGTCACATTTCTTTAATTGAAGTTAGCACTACTGATGTAGCCTGATATCCCCAGTAACCATCTGGAGTGTTTAGGCTTGAGACGGCTCCAGAATTGTTTTAAGTTATATTCTTAATGATAACCAGTAAAGTTTCCTTAAAATACTTCTAGCTTTTGAGAATAGTGCAAACATTTACCTTGGTTGAGATACTGTAGAGAGTCTTTGTATTTATTTCCTAATACCCCATAAAGTTACTTATTCTTATTGACAGTAACAAGATCCCCCAAAATTATGTGAAAATAGAATAAAGAAAATCCAATTCATTTTTAACAGATTATAATGACTAGCTAATTGAAGGAATCTTGTGCATATCTTTCTGAAAT